CTCGCTCCTTGACTTCACCTTGCTTGGTTGGCTCTGTCTCCCTGTGCACCTGGGAGGCCAGCCCTCTGATGTGGGCCTGACCACACTGTGGTGCTCTTTCCTAACCCTTCCCTCCTGTTCCAGGACAATTGCCCCCTACTCTTCAATCCCCGGCAGTCCGACTATGACAAGGATGAAGTCGGGGACCGCTGTGATAACTGCCCTTACGTGCACAACTCTGCGCAGATCGACACCGACAGCAATGGCGAGGGGGACGCCTGCTCTGTGGACATCGATGGCGATGGTCAGTTGTCTCCTCGTTTCAGTGACACGCGTCAGTGTTCATCAGAGTTGGTCTGGGCAGGGTTTGCACGTCTGAGGGTTCCGCTCACTGCAGCGAGATTTGAAAGGGTGTGACGTTGACCTTGTAGCTCTATAAGAACTCCTGGGGTGATTAACACATGGGTGTGAGTCCGGGGTGTGCACAGGTCAGGTGCACATGCCACATCCTTGCACAGGAGCTGAGCCCCCTGGACTGGGCTCCGTGGGCGCCTGGACCCGTCCTCTACCAAAGCTGGGGCGATGGCACTGCACACCCCGTGCTTCCTCTGCACTCAGCTGCCTCCACACTCGCAGGAAACTCAGGCCCCGCAGCACACAGCTCTTTCTCTGGGCCCGCCCTCAGGTGCCCTTGCCTTTCCCACCTGTTGGGAAAGCGGGATGTCGTGTCCCTTTCCCTGACCCCCTCCTGGCAGCCCTGCGCCCTAGCCCGCTGCAGGTTCTCCAGCGCACACTCTGTTGAAGTCCCCCGCCTCATCCCACAGCCTGTCCCCATGCTCCCCTCGTCCATCTGCCCGCTCCTCCCACAGGCCCAGGTTCCCAGGGGTACAGCAGGGCAGCTGCGTGGTGTGGCCTCAGACACGCTGTGGCTGGCTCTGAGCCCTCCTGCCCACAGAGAAGGAGCCCACGACCCTGGGCCGGTGGCCTGCTTGGGCCTTTCTTGGGTGGCAGTGCCCTCTCTGCCCCTCTCCTCTTGCTGTGGGCTGAAATCTTGTGCCCCTCCCGACCCGTCTCCGTCCTGCCCTCAGCAACCACCCCCAGCCCCTCTGACTCACTCTGTGTCCCAAAGTGCACTCTGTCCCTCTCCAGCCAGTTTCTGCGTCCCCTGGCCCCAGGACACGTGTGCACTCAGGTGCCCCTTGGCTTTGTGTGCTTGGGCAGAGCCCCACTTCCCGAGCTGAACTGGCATCTGCCACCTGCTCTGAAGCCCACGTGCTCTTAGGAGTCTCTTGACCTGACCCCAGGGGACCTCCCAGGCCTGCTCCACTGGCAGGGGCCAGGCCAGGGCCCCCAGGCCACCCCACGCCTGGACTCTGCGTGTTGGTGCTTTCTGGTCATCTGGCAGGATCGGGCCCTGCTCTTGGCTTTTCATTAAACTCTGGTACTAGTAGGACTCACTGTCCACCTCAGACCTCTGAAACACGTCTCACATCGAGAGCCCACGGTCCCTGCCTGTCCCTGCCTGTCCCCGCCAGGTGGTGCCCTGCCTGTGCACCTGGAGGGCAGGCGATGAGCCGGGAGGAGGGGCAATGCTGAACTCAGTGTTCCCTGCGCCTGTCCAGCTGCAGGGCCAGGCGCTGGAGCCAGCTGGAGGAGCCTGACCTCACCTGCTCGCAGGCCTGTCCACGCTGGGCTGTGCCCGGTTCCCAGGAGTCTGTGGACTCTGGCCTCCCCACCTCCCAGTCCTTGCAGGCCACTGAGTGAAGGCGCGTGAGTGGTTGAGGGAGGGGCTGCTCCGACTGTGCACTAGCTGCTTTCTGCTTTGACGACAGACGTCTTCAACGAGCGGGACAACTGTCCCTACGTCTACAACACCGACCAGAGAGACACGGACGGGGATGGAGTGGGGGACCACTGTGACAACTGCCCACTGATGCACAACCCCGACCAGGTGAGGAGTGACTGTGCGCAGGGTGGGGCCTTCGCGGTGACTGGGGGGGCCTGGCTTCCGTCAGCAGTGCCAGCCCACAGCAGCATACTGGGAAGAGCCCCTGCTGCAGTGCTGTCCCCGTGGCCATGGGCCACAGGGCACAGGCCTCTCCTCTCTGAAGTGAGATTGGGCTCTGTGTGGCGGACGCCCTGCGACAAGCCTGAGTCTCGCCGTCGTGCGTGGCAGCAGATGCTGCGAGACAGCCTTGGCTGTGTGAGGGAGCTTTCTCCAGAGAGCACACACGGTGTCCCTTAGGTGACCACGTCCCTGCAGGCCCGGGGCCTGGGTTCCTGGCTCCTGACCCCTCCCTCTGTGCACCTGGCACCTGCCCGAGGTCTCACTTCCCAGACCCCTGCCCTTCCTCCCGAGACACTCACCAGCGTGTCCCCTGCCCTGTCTGCAGACGGATGTGGACAATGACCTGGTGGGAGACGAGTGTGACAACAACGAGGACATCGACGACGACGGCCACCAGAACAACCAGGACAACTGCCCCTACATCTCCAACGCCAACCAGGCTGACCACGACAGCGACGGCCAGGGGGACGCCTGCGACTCGGACGATGACAACGATGGAGTCCCCGATGACAGGGACAACTGCCGGCTGGTGTTCAACCCGCAGCAGGAGGACTCGGATGGTAGGCCCAGGGTGCAGGGGTGCAGGGGGACCTGGATGGTAGGCCCAGGGGTGCAGGGGTGCAGGGGGAC